GACATTGCAGTTTGCAAACCTCTCATGCTGGTGTGTATTTTTTCCCTGGGCAAAGGGTTTCTGGGAGCACTGCTGTACTCCACTCAACACATCTATCAGAATGTCAGGTTTAAGAGTACATATTTAGTGCCATGGAAGGCAAGGATATAAGGATTCTATGTTATGCCCATAAAAACCCTGCATTATTTAAGGAAACTCTGTACACCCCATTTTAAGCAATTTAATGAAAGCCAAATTGATTCCTTCTTTAAATGTTAATAAAGTGTTTGTGCTGTTCTCTATCTTCCCAATGTCCCCCTAGCCTCAAATACATGTGTAGAAACAAAGGAGAAAAACAAAAGAATTTCCAAATCAGGAAAGGGCTTGGTGATGACAGTAGCATCAACGTATCCTTTAAAGCAGGAGTCTTCAAACTTTTTCAAGCCATGGAACCTGTTAGTTTAAATCAATCAATCAATCAATCAATCAATCAATTAATCTTGGATCAAGAGGCAAAGCTCTAGTGACAGAAAAATAGCTGCATTTGAATGAGCTTTTTTTGTTGTTGTTAATAGTCTCTCATGGAACCTCATTGAGTTCTTGCAGAAGCTTAGTATTCCAAAGGACATAATCTGAAAAACCCTGCTTTAGAGATATCCTGGGTTAATGGGATTATGCTTTAATTTGGAAGGCAGACCCTTGGGCAGGCACAACAGAGAGTCCACAGCACACATCTATAAAGAAGCCAGATCCAATCAGCTCCTGGTAGGAAGTACAGCCATAAGTAGGTATAAATTAGAGTAACAGTTTCAGTAGGCATCTACCCCAGCAGTACAGGATCAATTTTTATTCTATTATGTCCTCTCTTGACACATGAGTGTACTGTCATCACAATATCTATAGTACAGTTTCAAAGGAGGGAAACCTAGTCAGTTTAGTGGAAATTTCTCTCAGGCAATTATGTACCGAACTGTAATCTACATATGCACAGAGTGGAGAATGAGTTATAAACTGGAGATGCTGAGAGTAAGAATATAGAAAATGTTTCATGACTTGCTATTTATTTCCTCTTACGTGGCCCTATATTTGACTTAACCATAAACATGTTGATAAGTAGAAAAAAATCCTTGTTCTGATTATTTCTCAAATAAGCATAGGTACAAATCATGTGTGAATTTTTATTGCCGAAGATGTTTCAAGGTAAGATATACAGATCCCTGCTTTGACATTGCTGGAAATAAACTCAATGGCATGGAACATCCAAAAAATATAATTGACCACTTTGATTCATGTCTTCACAAAGGACAGAAATTAGAAATGAGTGTAACTATTATCAGTTTGGTAAGAGTATGCCGAACTCTTTCAAACGACATAAAAATAACTCTTTATGATGGGTGGGTCTGACATCTAATATTCTCCATCTACTTTTTTTTTAGTATGGTAAATAGTTCAGCTACACGAGCTGTTAACTACAATCAAAAGTGGTACAATGAAGAAGCAGGTTTACCACCTCACTAGAACTTATAATACACTTTATTAACCAATAATGATGATGCAGTTCCTTCTAAACTGTCAAACTTGCAGTTCCAATCCAGACTTGAACATTCACTAGGCCAGTGTTTCTCAACCTCACTGACTTTAAGATGTGTGGACTTCAACTCCCAGAATTCTCCCAGCCAGCATGCTGGCTGGGGGAATTCTGGGAGTTGGAGTCCTCACATCTTAAAGTCAGTGAGGTTGAGAAACACTGCACTAGGCTGTACCTTTGATACTGATTCTGAACCTCTTTCTTTAACTCCTCCAAAGCCAAAAGACAGGGAGTGAAATCTTGCTCTTCTCCTAACTACTAAATTACCTGACCTATCCTTTTAATACAATATCTTATTTCATAACAGTAAGGGCACTTACTTTTTATATGTGTAGTAAAAGACAGAAATAAGTTTTCCACAGACTTGTGGAAACTCTGATTAAGTTCCTGAAAGAAAAAGAGACATGAAAAGATAAGTAAAATGGAGTTACCTTCTCAAGGCTTCCTGGATCACAGAACCTCCCTTGCAACTCTTAAGGAAACACAGGTGCAAACCTGCAAGCAGAGCTGGAATTCCTGCATCCTAGCAAGTAGGAGAATATCCATGGTTGCATTGTTGTTGTTGTTGATCCACCTATCAGATGTTGTTGTCTGATGGTGTTAAAAGTATCGTCGCAGGATGGAAGCTGTTCCAATAAAGCTGCCTTTTGCAATTGACTGATGGTGATTTTGTCAATGCTGATGTTCAAGTGGTGCTCCAGATGTTTTGGGATTGCACCCAAGGCGCCTATTACTATTGGTACTATCTTTGCTTTCTTTTGTTTATTTTTATTTGCAGGTCTTTGTATTTTGTGATTTTCTCCAGTTCTTTCTCTTCTATTCTGCTGTCTCCAGGTATTGCAATGTCCACTATCCAGACTTTCTTGTCTTTCTTACCAACAATAGTTAAGTCTAGGGTGTTATGTGGCAGGTGCTTGTCTGTCTGAATTCCAAAGTCCCAGAGCACTTTTAGCTTCTTCATTTTCTATTACGTTGTCTGATTTGTGGTCCCACCAGATCATGCTTGCAGGCAAATGGTATTTCTTGCAGATATTC